GTCAGAGGGGTGTTCTCTCTCTGTGACAGAGGGGTGTTCTCTCTGTGTCAGAGGGTGTTCTCTCTGTTCTGTGTCAGAGGGGTGTTCTCTCTCTGTGTGACAGAGGGGTGTTCTCTCTGTGTCAGAGGGGTGTTCTCTCTCTGTGTCAGAGGGGTGTTCTCTCTGTGACAGAGGGGTGTTCTCTCTGTGACAGAGGGGTGTTCTCTCTGTGACAGAGGGGTGTTCTCTCTCTGTGTCAGAGGGGTGTTCTCTCTGTGTCAGAGGGGTGTTCTCTCTGTGTCAGAGGGGTGTTCTCTCTGTGTCAGAGAGGGGTGTTCTCTCTGTGTGACAGAGGGGTGTTCTCTCTGTGTCAGAGGGGTGTTCTCTCTGTGTGTCAGAGGGGTGTTCTCTCTGTGTGACAGAGGGGTGTTCTCTCTGTGTCAGAGGGGTGTGTGTGACAGAGGGGTGTTCTCTCTGTGTGACAGAGGGGTGTTCTCTCTCTGTGTGACAGAGGGGTGTTCTCTCTGTGTGTCAGAGGGGTGTTCTCTCTGTGTCAGAGGGGTGTTCTCTCTGTGTGACAGAGGGGTGTTCTCTCTGTGACAGAGGGGTGTTCTCTCTGTGTCAGAGGGGTGTTCTCTCTGTGTGTGACAGAGGGGTGTTCTCTCTGTGTGTCACAGAGGGGTGTTCTCTCTGTGTGTCCAGAGGGTGTTCTCTCTGTGACAGAGGGGTGTTCTCTCTGTGACAGAGGGGTGTTCTCTCTGTGACAGAGGGGTGTTCTCTCTGTGTCAGAGGGGTGTTCTCTCTGTGTCAGAGGGGTGTTCTCTCTCTGTGTGACAGAGGGGTGTTCTCTCTGTGTGACAGAGGGGTGTTCTCTCTGTGTCAGAGGGGTGTTCTCTCTGTGACAGAGGGGTGTTCTCTCTGTGACAGAGGGGTGTTCTCTCTCAGAGGGTGTTGTGTCAGAGGGGTGTTCTCTCTGTGACAGAGGGGTGTTCTCTCTGTGTCAGAGGGGTGTTCTCTCTGTGTGTCAGAGGGGTGTTCTCTCTGTGTGTCAGAGGGGTGTTCTCTCTGTGACAGAGGGGTGTTCTCTCTGTGTCAGAGGGGTGTTCTCTCTGTGTGACAGAGGGGTGTTCTCTCTGTGTGACAGAGGGGTGTTCTCTCTGTGTGACAGAGGGGTGTTCTCTCTGTGTGTGTTTCTCTCTGTGTGACAGAGGGGTGTTCTCTCTGTGTGACAGAGGGGTGTTCTCTCTGTGTCAGAGGGGTGTTCTCTCTGTGTGACAGAGGGGTGTTCTCTCTGTGTGTCAGAGGGGTGTTCTCTCTGTGACAGAGGGGTGTTCTCTCTGTGTGTCAGAGGGGTGTTCTCTCTGTGTCAGAGGGGTGTTCTCTGTTCTCTCTCTGTGTGACAGAGGGGTGTTCTCTCTGTGACAGAGGGGTGTTCTCTCTGTGTGACAGAGGGGTGTCTCTCTGTGACAGAGGGGTGTTCTCTCTGTGTGGTCAGAGGGGTGTTCTCTCTGTGACAGAGGGGTGTTCTCTCTGTGACAGAGGGGTGTTCTCTCTGTGACAGAGGGGTGTTCTCTCTGTGTAGAGCAGAGGGGTGTTCTCTCTGTGTCTCTCTGTGTGTGTTCTCTCTGTGAGAGGGGTGTTTCTCTCTGTGTGACAGAGGGGTGTTCTCTCTGTGTGTCAGAGGGGTGTCTCTCTGTGAGAGGGTGTTCTCTCTGTGTCAGAGGGGTGTTCTCTCTGTGTGACAGAGGGGTGTTCTCTCTGTGTCAGAGGGGTGTTCTGCTGATGTTCAGTCTGTTCTGTGTTTCTGTCGTGTTGTTGGTTCATGTGAAACTTTTCACACATTATACATGTGCAGGTCGTACACACACACACACACACACACACACACACAGACACACACAGACACACACACACACACACACACACACACACACACACACAGAATCTAATTCCACAATTCCATATTTTGACACAGAAAAACGTGAACGTGAAATTCCACAAACCTCCAGTGACCTCTGACCTCATCTGAGACTATGACATCATCACAGTCTGACCCCGCCCACAATCTGACCCCGCCCACAATCTGACCCCGCCCACGTCACAACAGTCTGTTCAAAGTCTGCCATAAAAAAAATTTAAAAAAAACTATTTGGGCCAAAACCTTAAAGCCACGAGATCGCAGGTTCCACTCCCGACCCGTCCCAGAACCAGGACTAAACCAGGACTAAACCAGGTCTAAACCAGGTCTAAACCAGGTCTAAACCAGGTCTAAACCAGGTCTAAACCAGGACTAAACTAAACTAGGACTAACCAGGACTAAACCAGGACTAAACTAGGACTAAACCAGGACTAAACCAGGTCTAAACCAGGTCTAAACCAGGTCTAAACCAGGACTAAACCAGGTCTAAACCAGGTCTAACCTCTCGTCTCTTGAATAATATTTATAAATATTTATATTTACTTGTCGTTCAGGCTCCAGCTGAGCTTTTCACTAAAACCTCCAGTCACACATCTGAGCTCTTTGTCCTCCTCTTCATCCTCTCCTCTTCATCCTCTCCTCTTCATCCTCTCATCCTCCCTCTTCCTCCTCTCCTCTTCATCCTCTCCTCTCCTCATCCTCTCCTCTTCATCCTCTCCTCTTCATCCTCTCCTCTTCATCCTCTCCTCTTCCTCTTCATCCTCTCCTCATCCTCTCATCCTCTCATCCTCATCCTCTCACCTCCTCTCTCATCTTCATCCTCTCCTCTTCATCCTCTCTCTTCCTCTCCTCATCCTCTCTCTCCTCTCCTCTTCATCCTCTCCTCTTCATCCTCTCCTCCTCATCCTCTTCCTCCTCTCCTCCCTCATCCTCTCCTCCCTCATCCTCTCATCCTCTCCTCTTCATCCTCTCCTCTCCTCATCCTCTCCTCCTCATCCTCTCCTCTTCATCCTCTCCTCTCTCTCCTCTCTCCTCATCCTCTCCTCTTCATCCTCTCCTCTTCATCCTCTCCTCTTCATCCTCTCCTCCTCATCCTCTCCTCTTCATCCTCTCCTCTTCATCCTCTCCTCTTCATCCTCTCCTCTTCATCCTCTCCCTCTTCCCTCCTCTCTCCTCCTCCTCATCCTCTCCTCTTCATCCTCTCCTCTTCATCCTCTCCTCTTCATCCTCTCCTCTTCATCCTCTCCTCTTCATCCTCTCCTCTTCATCCTCTCCTCTTCATCCTCTCCTCTTCCTCCTCTCTTCCTCTTCTTCTCTTCTTCTCAAACGTTTCATTTCAGAATAATTAACGTTGAAAAACTATAATTTTCAAATAATTATCGACTCTGAGACTCAAACCACAAGAAACAAAACAGGACTAAACCAGGACTAAACGTGGACTGAACCAGGACTAAACCAGGACTAAACCAGGACTGAACCAGGACTAAACGTGGACTGAACCAGGACTAAACGTGGACTGAACCAGGACTGAACCAGGACTAAACCAGGACTAAACCAGGACTAAACGTGGACTGAACCAGGACTTGTGTTTTGTCTTATAAAAGTGTGAATCTTTGTTAAACTGAAATGAAGATTTAATTTAAAAAAAAATCACTTTTATGTCGCAGAAAATAAATAAGAATAAATTGAACGTAATGAATCTTTTCAAATTAAAGCTGCAGTGTGTCACTTTTCCCGTGGGGAGTGAGTCTGGTATCTGCTCGTCTCCATGGAGACTGTGTTTGTGTCTGAAATGTTCCACAGTATGAAAAATAAAACTCGTTTGTTTGTTCGTTTGTTTCTGTGACGTTTCCTCGTGTAGTGAGAGTCGCGCTCGCCTCTCCACAGATCTGACCTGTCCCCTGGCCTGATGGTCGTCTCCATGGTGACAGATATAATGGAGACGCGACAATGACCAGAAGAAAGTCACGCAGTGGAACTTTAAATACATTCAGCTTCCATTTTCTCTGGAGACTGAACCAAGACTAGAACAGGACTAAACCAGGTCTGAACCAGGACTAAACCAGGACTAAACCAGGTCTGAACCAGGACTAAACCAGGTCTGAACCAGGACTAAACCAGGTCTGAACCAGGACTAAACCAGGTCTGAACCAGGACTAAACCAGGACTAAACCAGGACTAAACCAGGTCTGAACCAGGACTAAACCAGGTCTGAACCAGGACTAAACCAGGACTAAACAAGGACTGAACCAAGACTAAACAAGGACTAGAACAAGACTAAACCAGGTCTGAACCAGGACTAAACCAGGACTAAACAGGACTGAACCAAGACTAAACAAGGACTAGAACAAGACTAAACCAGGACTAGAACAGGACTAAACCAGGTCTGAACCAAGACTAAACCAAATCTGAACCAGATCTAGACCAGGACTAAACCAAGATTACACAAAGCACAAAAAACTGAAAAAGCAAACTGGATTATTTATAAACCACAAAAGACAAAGGACCAAACCAGAACTAAACCAGAACTAAACCAGAACTAAACCAGGACTAAACCAGGACTAAACCAGAACCACAGAACCAAACCAGGACTAAACCAGGACTAAACCAGAACCACAGGACCAAACCAGGACTAAAACAAGACTAAATCAAGAATAAACTAGGACTAAGAAGGGAGTCAGGACTAAGACCAGAACTAGGCCAAGACAAAACCGGACTAAGACCAGAGTTGGGACCTGTTGTGTTTTTGTTGTTGTTGTTGTTGTTGTTGTTGTTGTTGTTGTTGTCACTTATTTGTGATGATTTTAAATCTTTGTGTGTGAATCTTTTGCCGCTGAACTTGTGTCATAAACGCGGACACAACATGGAGGCGGTGACGCGCGGTGCCGCCACGTTCCGCTCCGGACCGAGCTGAACCGGACCAGTGTGTGCGCGTGCGTGTGTGTGTGTGTGCGTGTGCGCGCGGTGAGGAGCGGTGAGGCGGCGCGCTGCTGTGTAACATGTGCGTAAAAGTGCCGCGCGGTTCCACATGTGTTTGTATGTGCACCGCGCGCGTCACCGCTCCCCTTTCCGCGCCGCTCCCTGCCGTGTCCCTGCCGCGCACCTTGTCTCCGGAGCCGCCGCTTCTTGAGGCCGAAGATCCGGACTTTGGAGAAGATGTCGACCAGGTTGTTGTTGCACAGACCCTGCTTCTTCCCGGGGCTTTTCCGCCTGCGGTGCGCGGTGGGTCGGTGGGCGTGTTGCTCGCGCGCCTGCCGCTTCTGTCGGATCAAACCGCTGGCGATCGCCGCTGCCATGTCTCTGCCGCTCGCGTCCTCGTCTCCTCAAACTCCCGACTCTTCCGCTCCCGCGTCCCCGCCACAAAAGCTCCTCTCCTCCCGCCGCTCCTCCCGCCGCTCCCGCCGCTCCTGTCTGCGCCGCTCACGCGTGTCCGACACAGATCGACCCCATTGTGCAAACGCGGTGGTTATGGAGCCGCGCGTGCACCTGTCCGTCACGTCTCACCGCGCCGCGCTGCCATGACGTGCCGCCCAGTGCCGCTTCGGGTCGCGCCTTCGCCGCTCCGCTCCCCGGGCTCCAGCCGCGTCCCCGTCTGACGGAGAACTGCCGCGCTCCTGCCGCGCGTCCCGCCGCCTCTGCCGCCCGTGCCGCGCGTGCCGCCCGTGCCGCGACTCTCTGGGCTCCAGCTGCGTAAAAGTGGCGCGACTCGTGCGCGGTGCGAGCGGAACAGAGGCGGATTGTCGCTCACACCGCGCGCCCCGCGTCCGCGCGCGTCAACAGCGGATTTATGCCGCGCGCAGACACAACAGCGGCAGAGTGGTTAGCCTTTCCCCCCCGCGGCGACGAGGCTCCGGGTTAGACTCCCGGACCAGGACCGAACCAGGACTGGACCTGGACTAAACCAGGACTAAAACAGGACTAAACCAGGACTGGACCTGGTCTCTTAAACATCCCAGACCCAGACTCTTGGACAGGTTTATGTGGGGAGGGCATCAGGTGTAAAACTGCTCAGTCTACGTTTGTAGCTTGATTTGGTCCTGGTCTAGTCCAAGTGTAGACCTGGTTTAGTTCTGGTTTAGTCCCTGTTTTTCCTGGTTCAGATTCTTACAGATTTCACTTCATCTTTATTTCTGTGGTTCAGGTTTTGTTCTGATCCAGACTCCAGCAGGTCCAGGTCCTGTTCTGGTCCTGTTCTGGTCCTGTTCTGGTCCTGTTCTGAGTCTGACCCTGAGCCGGACTCTGGACCCTGAGCCGGACTCTGGACCCTGAGCCGGACTCTGGACCCTGAGCCGGACTCTGGACCCTGAGCCGGACTCTGGACCCTGAGCCGGACTCTGGACTCTGAGTCGGACTCGTTCTTCCTTTTGTCCATAAATAAAATGTTCCTGTGACACATGAAACTTTAAATCTGTTTAAATAAATAAAACCAGACACAGTTTTTCTCTTTTTGGACGAAAGAAAAACACGAATGAATCAGCACCACGGACAGAGACCAAGACCAGGACCAGGACCAGACCAGGACCAGGACCAGGACCAGGACCAGGACCAGACCAGACCAGGACCAGGACCAGGACCAGGACCAGGACCAGGACCAGACCAGGACCAGACCAAGACCAGGACCAGGACCAGACCAGACCAGACCAGGACCAGGACCAGACCAGGACCAGGACCAGACCAGGACCAGGACCAGGACCAGGACCAGGACCAGACCAGACCAGGACCAGGACCAGGACCAGGACCAGGACCAGGACCAGGACCAGGACCAGGACCAGGACCAGGACCAGGACCAGGACCAGACCAGGACCAGACCAGGACCAGGACCAGACCAGGACCAGGACCAGGGACCAGGACCAGGACCAGGACCAGACCAGACCAGACCAGGACCAGGACAGACCAGACCAGACCAGACCAGGACCAGGACCAGGACAGGACCAGGACAGGACCAGACCAGACCACCAGACCAGGACCAGGACCAGGACCAGGACCAGGACCAGGACCAGGACCAGGACCAGGACCAGGACCAGGACCAGGACCAGGACCAGAACCAGGGACCAGGACCAGGACCAGACCAGACCAGACCAGACCAGGACCAGACCAGGACCAGACCTAGGACCAGGACCAGACCAGGACCAGACCAGACCAGGACCAGACCGACCAGGACCAGGACCAGGACCAGACCAGGACCAGGACCAGACCAGGACCAGACCAGGACCAGGACCAGGACCAGACCCAGACCAGGACCAGACCAGACCAGGACCAGACCAGACCAGACCAGACCAGGACCAGGACCAGACCAGACCAGGACCAGACAGACAGACCAGGACCAGACCAAGGACCAGGACCAGGACCAGGACCAGGACCAGACCAGGACAGACCAGACCAGACCAGGACCAGGACCAGGACCAGGACCAGGACCAGGACCAGACCAGGACCAGACCAGGACCAGGACCAGGACCAGACCAGGACCAGGACCAGGACAGACCAGGACCAGACCAGACCAGACCAGACCAGACCAGACCAGGACCAGGACCAGACCAGGACCAGGACCAGGACCAGGACCAGGACCAGGACCAGGACCAGACCAAGGACCAAGACCAAGACCAGACCAGACCAGGACCAGACCAGATCAGGACCAGGACCAAGACCAAGACCAAGACCAGGACTAGGACCAGGACTAGGATCAGGACCAGGACCAGGACCAGACCAGGACCAGACCATACCAAGACAAGAACCAAGATCAGAACCAAGACAAGACCAGGACCAAGACCAAGACCAGACCAGGACCAGGACCAGGACCAGACCAGGACCAGGACCAGACTAGGACCAGACCAGAGACCAGACCAGGGACAGTGGAGGGTGATAGAAATAGAAAATAGAAATGTTTAATGCCACAGTGTGGAACATTTCACATCTCCATGGAGACGAGCAGGTGACAGAGGCTCCTGCAGAAAAGTTCCACGGTGCAGCTTTATGTTTCTGTAGTTCATAATAAAACCTGTGCAGGTTCAGAGCGACACGTGTCTGAGGTGAAGAAAAACACTCTGCTCCACCCTGTGATGTCATCAGGTGGTAGTTTTTATTTCACCTTTAGTTCAGTCGAGACGGAAATGATCCAAATGATTCTAGTCCTGGTTTAGACCTGGTTTAGTCCTGGTTTAGACCTGGTTTAGACCTGGTTTAGTCCTGGTTTAGTCCTGGTTTAGACCTGGTTTAGACCTGGTTTAGACCTGGTTTAGACCTGGTTTAGACCCTGGTTTTAGTCCTGGTTTAGACCTGGTTTAGACCTGGTTTACCTGGTTTAGACCTGGTTTAGACCTGGTTTAGACCTGGTTTATCTGGTTTAGATGGTTGTTTACTCTGGTTTAGTCTGGTTTAGACCTGGTTTAGTCCTGGTTTAGACTGGTTTAGCCTGGTTTAGTCTGGTTTAGACTGGTTTAGTCCTGGTTTAGACCTGGTTTAGTCCTGGTTTACCTGGTTTAGACCTGGTTTAGTCCTGGTTTAGACTGGTTTTAGTCCTGGTTTAGTCCTCGGTTTAGACCTGGTTTAGTCCTGGTTTAGTCCTGGTTTAGACCTGGTTTAGTCCTGGTTTAGACCTGGAACTTCCTGTATCACCACATGATGACATCACGAGGTGGAACAGAGTGTTTTCAGTTTGAGAGGTTTGTTTGTGACGAGGAAACGATGTCAGAGGATGAAGAAAGAAAAAAACTCTGGTAATCAGAATATTTAAAATCATGTGAATATTTAAAATCATGTGAATATTTAAATCACGGGAATATTTAAATCACGGGAGTATTTAAATCATGTGATTATTTAAATCATGTGATTATTTAAATCATGTGAGTATTTAAATCATGTGATTATTTAAATCATGTGATTATTTAAATCATGTGATTATTTAAATCATGTGAATTTAATAAATTTGTGAATATTTAAATCATGTGATTATTTAAATCATGTGATTATTTAAATCATGTGATTATTTAAATCATGTGATTATTTAAATCATGTGATTATTTAAATCATGTGAGTATTTAAATCATGTGATTATTTAAATCATGTGATTATTTATCATTTATTTGAATTTAAATCATGTGATTATTTAAATCACGTGATTATTTAAATCACGTGATTATTTAAATCATGTGATTTATTGTGATTATTTGAGTTCGTGTTTGGGGCAGGTTCTCTGAGGTTCTGCTGGTCTCAGGTCTGTGTGACTCTGGAGCCACACTTCTGCCCGTCTGCCCCGGGGCGACTGTGACTGCAGAGGAGAGCTCCCACAATCCTTCACTTTCACTTCACACATGTTCGTTCTGACGGAGGAGCTGACGCTGGTGCTGCTTTAATGTCCCGCACTGGAGCTTTAACTGTTCTACTGTGAGATGTTTCACCCTGTAGGAGAATCTGGTTTTATTCACATCTGTTCTCCTGATGTTCCTCTGATGACCACAAGAGGGAGACACACACTCACAACAAACCAGGACTAAACCAGAACTAAACCAGGACTGAACCAGGACTAAACCAGGACTAAACCAGGACTAAACCAGAACTAAACCAGGACTAAACCAGGAACTAAACCAGGACTAAACCAGGACTGAACCAGGACTAAACCAGGACTAAACCAGGACTAAACCAGGACTAAACCAGGACTAACTAACCAGGACTAACCAGGACTAAACCAGGACTAAACCAGGACTGAACCAGGACTAAAACCAGGACTAAACCAGGACTAAACCAGGACTAAACCAGGATCTAAACCAGGACTGAACCAGGACTAAACCAGGACTGAAACAGGACTAAACCAGGATAAACAGGACCTAAACCAGACTAAACCAGGACTGAACCAGGACTGAACCAGGACTGAACCAGGACCAGGACTAAACCAGGACTAAACCAGGACTAAACCAGGACTAAAACCAGGAACTAAACCAGGACTAAACCAGGACTAAACCAGGACTAAACCAGGACTAAACCAGGACTGAACCAGGTCTAAACCAGGACTAAACCAGGACTAAACCAGGACTGAACCAGGACTGAACAAGGACTAAAACAGGACTATGAACCAGGACTGAACCAGGACTGAAGCAGGACTAAACCAGGACTGAACCAGGACTGAACCAGGACTGAACCAGGACTAAACCAGGACTGAACCAGGACTAAACCAGGACTGAACCAGGACTAAACCAGGACTAAACCAGAACTAAACCAGGACTACACCTCCCGGTCAGAGTCTGATCTAGGGTCAGATCTCAGCAGGTCTGGTCTGGTCCTGGTCTGGTCTGGTCTGGTCCTG